GCATATGAGCAGTTGATGGTCTGTTCCACAATCAGCTCCTGGCCTGGTTTTGGCTGAGGATATTGAGCTTTTCCACCACCTCTTGCCACAGATGTGGTCAATCTGATTCCTGTGTGTTACATCTGGTGAAGTCCACATGTACAGCTGCCATTTGTGTTGTTGAAAAAAGGTGTTTGCAATGAATAAGTTGTTGGTCTTGCAAAGTTCTACCAGGCGAGTTCCAGCATTATTTCTGTTACCAAGGCCAAATTTTCCAACTACTGGTGATTCTTCTTTGTTTCCAACTTTTGCATTCCAGTCATCAGTGATAACTAACACATCCTGATTGCATGTTCTGTCAATTTTAGACTGCAGAAGCTGATAAAAATCTTTTGCAACACATAAAAATCTTCAATTTCCTTATCTTTGGCTTTGGTGGTTGGTGCATAAATTTGAATAATAGTCATATTAATGGGTCTTATTTGTAGGCATATGGACATTATCCTGTCACTGACAGCATTGTAACAGGACAGATCTTGAAACATTCTTTGTGATGATGAATGCCACACCATTCCTCTTCAAACTGTCATTCTCAGCATAGTAGATCACATGGTTGTCTGATTCAAAATGACCAAAAACAGTCCATTTCAGCTCACTAATGCCGAGGATATCAATCTTTATGTGTTCCATTTCATTTTTGACAACTTCCAATTTTCCTACAGTCATACTTCATACATTCCATGTTCCGATGATTAATGGATGTCTGCAGCTGTTTCTCTTCAATTTGAGTGGTGCCACATCAGCAAATGGAGGTCTCAAAAGCTTTACCTTATCCATAGGAGTAAGGTTGGGTTTACTCAGATGATGCAGCTCTTTCCCAGTCCTATTTTGAGAGCTTTCTAACCTAACCAGACTATTCATAAAGTTGTGTGGAAATGTATCAAACGGTGTTTCTTTGCTATTCATAAGGTTTTCCCTGGCCAATTCTTTGAGAAGTGGACGGCCTCTTCCTTCTTTCTAGTTTGTCTCAATCTATAAGCTGGACTGATACTGTGCACCATGTGCATCCCTCTGGGTTTGAAACACCAGTGGCTCAGCCTCAAAACTCACATCAACACGTCACCACTGTAGGACAAACTGACAGACAAAAGTTTGTCTCCCTGTTGGAAACCTCTCATACCACCCTTACCCAGGTCCCTGCGGTTGACTTCTCCTCTGGGTTCCTGGGCCTTTTAATCCCCTTTTATTTAATATCCACATATGTGCAAGTGTCCCTTTTTCCAGTTATGATTTCTAACTTGATTCCATTGTGGTCAGAATGTACTTTGTACTTTGTATTATATTTACCATTTTAAATTTATTAAGGTTTATGTTATGGCCTAGCATATCATGTATCCTAGAGAATGTTCCATGTGCAGCTGAGAAGAATGTATATTCTATTGTTGTTGGATGGAGTATAGTCCAGATGTCTGTTGGTTTATAGTATTGTTCAAGTCTTTTATTTCCTTGTTGAACTTCTGTGAAATTGTTCCATTATTGAGATTGGGGTATTGAAATCTCCAACTATTACTGTTGAATTGTCTGTTTCTCCCTTCATTTCCATCAGTTTTTGCTTCATATTTTTTGGTACTCTGTTAGGTGATATTAAGTGCATAGATATTAACAATTATTTTCTCTTTCTGATCAATTGACCTTTTTTGTGATAATATATCACTCTAGCTATTACTTTTCTGTCAAACTGTTATACTGTGGTGACTTGCGTGTTGCTGTGAGGCTGGGGGCTATGCCACCAGTATTTCAAATATCAGTAAGGTCACCCATGGTGGACAGGTGTCAGTGGAGCGTCCAGACTAATACAGACTCAGAAGTAGGAAGAGGCCATCCACTTCTCAAACAATTGATCAATTAAAACCTTATGAATGTGAAAACATTACTGGAAAACTTTATGAATAGCCCTGAAACATTGTCCAAAATAGTGCTGGAAGATGAACTCTTCAGGTCGGAAGGCACTCAAAATACAACTGGGGAAGAGCTGTCTCCTCAGTGTAGAGCTGACCTTAATGATGTGAATGGAGTAAAGCTTCGAGATCTCCATTTGCTGATGTGGCATGACTCAAAATGAGAAGAAACAGCTGCAAACATCCATTAGTAATCAGAACATGGAACATATGAAGTATGGATCTAGAAATATTGAAAGTTGTCAAAAATGAAATAGAATGCATGAAGATTGATATCCTAGGCATTAGTGAGTTGAAATGGACTGGTTTTGCCCATTTTGATTCAGACAACCATATGATCTATTATCGCAGGAATGACCAATTGAAAAGCAATGGTGTGACATTCATTGTCACAAAGAATATTTCA